GTGGGGCGCATGAAATACATAACAGTAATGTTATATTAGTGTGTGTATGTGTGCTCTTGAGAATATGTGTATGTATATTTGTAATTGTATCTGAATGTGGATGTAGAGAGCATCAGCTGCGGCAATCTCATACTATTAAGCTAGGCAGAAGTGAGTAGTCTTTGTCGATCGATCTCCATTTTAGTATTTTGTTGAAAGCACTTTTTTTTCACGAATTTATTTGACGATTTTTGATTTATATTACGAATTATACTACAGCACATTTCTAATAGGTTTAACGAATTACATGTCATTTATTTGAATTCAAACTTATTTTAATGACTTAGTATTTACTAAAAAGATGCAATTTTTTTTTTAAAAAAAAGTTTTTATATGGATTTGAATGATTGTTTTGAATTCTTAGAATTTTGTGCATTTGCAATATAACTAAGTGAGTAGCGAGCAAAGGGAGCTTGGTTTGTGAAGCAAACCATATAAGATTGCGTAGCAATTTACGGGAGTTGGCGAGCGTCAGCGAGCAGGGGGCGCAGCCCACTAGTTCAGATAATTTCTCTCTAAATTAAAGCTTTTGGAGACAACAATTAAGTCATTTATTCTAATATAAACTCGTAAAATGTATAAAAACCAAAAAAATAATAAAATTCGTTAATAGTAAAACATCGTATAACAAAAATATGGCTCTACATCCTTATTGAACTAGAACAAATTGATTAGTCGAGTAAAATTACTTTTTTTTCTTAAAATTAGAACCAAATATTTTTTAGAGAAAGCAATGTCCTTATAAATGATACCTGGAAATTCCTCTCAGTACACTTCCTCCTTTTCCTGCGGGAAATGGGGGTGACTTAAGGGCGAGAATGGAATTTCTTCTAGAAAAGCAATATATGAGGTTATCTTTTTTTTTACGTATTTCTTCACACTAAATCGAAGGAGACCAATCATGAGATAATCGGACGAATAGTTTAAAAGTTATAAGGGTTTTATGAACAAAAAAAAAATATATACAAATTTGTACCTATTTACTCACCAGATACATCTATCTAAAAAGTGGAATACTGCTTCCTATGCATTTTTTACGCTTAATCGAATGAAACTTTTCACGAGTGCGTGCGCTTTTATATGCAAAAAATACGATCTTTGACATAACTTATGTAAGCTTCTTACTTTGCTATCTAAACATGTGAGGTTAATTCTCCAATGAAAGTTTTTTTTTATTGAACTGAATGAGAAATAATTCGATTTGACAAGAGGAATTAATAGTTATTTCTTCATAATAAGTACATTAAAAAATAGTACATTATATTAACATAACATTTGAAATATTAGCCCTTTTGATTCATGTTTGTTCTCATTCGATTCTACGAAAAAAAATGCAAAGGAAATAATGCCTCACTTGTTTAGATAGCCATGTCAGATGCATAAATAGGTAAAAGCACAAAACTGTGCTTTTTTCTACATGAAGCCCCTTTTAACTTCTGAACTATTCGTCTCATTCTATTCCGCATAAAAAAAACCATCAAAATCAAAACCTAACACAATATTAATTTCTTCCCCCTCAAATCACCACTATTTTTTCTTTAAAAAGAGTGAAGCATATTGTTGTTCATTTACGTCGCACTAGAGCTGCACAATGGGCTATTGGCGACGGTCTGGGACACATCTGAAGATGATCCGACGACATGCCATCACAATTTTGATCCTCTGCAGAGGGGATAGCACCCCCGCTTCGGTAGCCCGACGACCTGCACGCGAAGTCGAGCACTTTACGGTAGAACAGTTTAACGAGGACCAATACCGCACACCCTCGGTCCCTACGCAGGCTGATCCAAGTGGTCACCCACCCGCATACTGACCGTAGCCAGTGATGCTTGACTTCGGTGATCTGCTGGGAACCGTGTCTTAACGATCAGTCAGTCCACTGCGGGACGAGTGAAGCAGACAGGGAAGTATTCAGTCATCCTTCATAATGACATATCCAAGCATTGTAAAAAAAAAATTCGTATAAATTTTTCCATATAAAAACCTTTTTTTAATACAAGTGCGGGACAATTAAACCAAAAATATAGCACTGTCTACTTGTAATTTCCGATCAGCTTAGAGCAGAGTTTCACTTTTTCGTTACCCACAGGAGAAAATAACTATCAATAAATTTGTAAATGCATGTTTAAGCGTACATGCACATGCTTACTTGTTCGCTATTTTGAATTTTATTTCATTGTTGCCAATGCGAAATGAAATCTCATTGGTTGACATTAGTGTTTATAAATATTTTTTTAATTTTTCCGATATTTTGAAGAAACTTAAAAAGTTTCTCTCATCAGAATCCTTCCCTTCTGAGTAGTAGGAACCAAACAAAAAATTCTATTTTCTATCTTAACTGTTCTCCATTTTTCTTTTCTTTCGGTTATGGAATCCTAAAGGCTCGAGCTTCTTTTTGGCGGATGCATATGCAAAACCGAAATAAGCTGAATTATGGTTTTCAAAAAAGATTTATTATAATTTAATTTTTTTTTATAAACATATACCTTTTTCATAATTTATTAAATATATTGTAATTTTTCATTGTTATTTTGCATAATTAAGATCATATAAACCGAAATATTAAATAAATTATCAGGGTTCCCACTCAATTTCATAAAAAAAATTCCCGGACTTTTCCAAGCATATTTCAAAGGAAATCCATATCATATTTTATCTATCCCATGCAATTTTTCATCAGAAAACTATGAATTTTTTATTTTATTTGTAATGCCAAATTATTAGATTTTACAAACAAATGTAATAGAATGATAATGGGAAAGTTTCACGAAAAAGTGAAATTTTATAAAATACTCATAATAAATGTTAGAATTATTTAACGCGAATCTCAATAACTAGTTACTGTTGTTAACAATTCTAAGACTTGTTATTTCCCAGGTTTGTTTTTGTAAAAAAAAAAAGCAACTTTCCCTGCTTTTTAGAGTTAAAATAAATTCCCTGACAATTCCAGGTTTTCCCTGACCCGTGGGAGCCTTGATTATGGATTGGATATAAATGTAATTATTATTGGTTTAAAAAAAATAACTACTTTAAAAAACTAATTAATAAACTTTCAGATCCCTGTAATCATTTCACCTACTAATGCTAGGATTTTGTAACCCACATTTTGGGTACTGCTGCCCTATCAAGGAAGTTGGAAAATATAAAAAAGAAGCAAATGAAAAAACAAGATTTTCAATACAGTATTTTAATTTACACATATATCAGCATTATGTTGAGCTATATAAATGAATCACATTTCTAAACAGTTTGCATCCCTCAGTAAGAGGTAATTTGAATCCAAAAGCTCTTGTGTTTCAGCCAACATGACAGACACAAAATATTACAAATAAAAAAAAAATTTCAGAGCATCCACTAAAAATTTTCCATAATGTTATATGAAAAAGACAGTTAACAAAACAAGGTAATATTGCATAGTGAGGAGTTTGATTTTAAATTAACGCCATGTTAGATTCTAGTTGAGTTGGTAAAATTAAATTAACTACCAACTAAAATATAACACAGAGTACACACAACAATAGCACTAGCACACTTGTAAAATATTTGGCATTACTTTTATTCCAAATGAACATTTTACAAATGAAGTATGCAAGAATGAACATCAAATCCTGCCAATACATTTTAATTCTTTTCCAAAAACAGAACGGATATAAGAGTCGATATCAAATAACTATAACAAATAACATACAAATACATTCTTAATCCAAAGGAGGAAAGAAAAACAAAAACGAAGAGAAAAATAACAAACAAAGCAAAATAAACATTGACGCTTATAAATATTACAATGATCAAACTAGATTACTTAAATAGCACTACTTAAAAATTTATAAGACAAATAACTAAAAAAAAAATTTTATTGAAACAAATTTAGCATTAAAAATATGTCACTTTAATGTTTCTTTTGTTTACAGTGCATTTTAACCAAATTCAGATAGCAACTTTACATAATATAAGTTTAAATGTTGAATTTTGAAACATAAAGCATGCATCAAAATAATACCAATTAAGTTAGGGGAAGATAAAAATTTCAATTAAAGCATAATATAATCCATAAGTTTAGCATGTTTTGATGAGTTAGATGATATTGACCTTAAGTTACATTTTAAGATAGGTTTATGAAAGAAGAAAGATTTAACAAATTCATTTTAATTTTTGTATACTGATAAAAATTGTAATTGAAGCTTTACATAAGTTTAAATAATTTTATGTTTTAATAAACTGGTTAAATCTCACATACTTACCTTAAAATTACATGAAAAAAATAATAAATTTAAAAAGATTATAATTAAAAAAATGAATTTAGACAAAAAAACTATAAAGAAATTAAAAATATTTAAAATCAAATATTTTGAGGCAAAAACACAAATTAAAAAATGAAAAACTTATCTCTTTACACTCATTTGACAGAATTTGTTGCTAGATTGGTCTGATATAGATCTTAGCAGTCACAGACCATTAATTTTGGATACTGCACTTTAATTTTTTCAAAAATACTCAATAAGACAAATTGAAATCAAGTATGAAAATTTAGATTCATTAAATTAAAATGTTCAGAAATAGAAATCTATCACATAAAGATAAAACTTTTCTGAAAATGTGACATTTTAATGCTTAAAATTTATATACAACATAATTTCATAAATAACATTAAATAACCAAAGCGTTGTTTCTGTTTAAAATTATAATGAATTTTTAAAAAGAAGAAATAATTGAAGCAAAAACATTAAAACACAAAAAGTATATTTTAGAACTATATAAATAAATGAAATTTTAGAGCTTACACATTTCATTTCTATAAATGCAATTAGTTAATTGCAGACACAGAAATCTATCATATTAAATGCATATACAATCAGATATTTCAATAAAGATAGCAGTAAAATATTATTCACTGATCTCAACATCCAAAATTTAATTTTTTGAGCATACATGCTATTTCAAAGTTTAGATTATCAATAGAAAAATGTGATTACTCCAGTATCCTTGTACAGTGAGAAAAATAAATCAGATTACAATAAGAAAAATTAGCATTTCAATAAGTTATATCAGTCCTTAGGTGTAAATGTTATTTCAGGTCCTTAAAATGAAGTCAATTGCTTTTGCACTTATGTCCGACAATCTATCTATTAAGACAAATGGAAAGAAAGTTGGCCTTCACTAATAGCAATTTCAAGTTTTTCTCTCATTATTTCAATGCTAGTATAATCAGGTAGTTTAAGATAATTTACACAAGTCATTACAGATGGCAGGTAGTTATTGGAATCGGAATCATCATCAGATGTCTTTTTCACTATAGTAAGAGGTGGGGAGAGGGATTTTAATCCACCGATTGGCAGTCTTGGAGAACCAGTGACAAACTGGATGAATTGTCTTTGTTGCATAGCATTGTAACTGCTTAAAATTTCAAACAGGAATCTGATTGCTTGACTGTCTAGTGTATAACCATGGTCAGCTCTACAGCTATCAGTTAGGCTTTGAACATCCCACTGGTGGTACACACTTCCACAGAAAATAAAGGCCAATTCCTCGGGGTAGAAAACTTGTAAGCGGTTCAAAGAGAAAACAGAGTCAAATCCTTCTTTGAAAGCTTTCATTTGTTTTGACACACCTTCAAACATGGTCCAGTGCTTTAAAAGTTTCAGATAGCACTCTAAGTTATGAATGGAAACCCCAGCATCTTTGCCACCTTTCTTCAACTCTATATTTGCATAGCCAGGAAGAGTAAAATCTAAGCTCAAATCTTCGACTGGGCAGCCATCCAATGTAATTTTCAACACCGATGTTTTCACTATGGTCGAGCTCAATGATTTGTCATTTTCTAGCTTATGTTTTTCAATCACCATTTGTTCCAGTTTGATGATATTCTGTGCTAGACTCTCATCCACAAATTGTAAATCAGAGAGTGATAAATACTTTTCTTGGTTTAACATCCACTTATAAAATGCAAGGCTAAGAGGAATATCGATTAACCTTGAATCCATTATAGCTTTTGCCAAAAACTTACCTAACAATTTAAACTTATTACAAATTTTGGTAAGTGAGCTGCTTCTGGTATTTCTTGATAGAGGCATAGGAAAAAGACCTGTGGGGCTGTGGACATAATTTGTAGAGAAATCTCCTTCTGGGCAAGAAGTCACAACATGCCACATATTCAAATCTGATCTTTGCAGTTCTTTAGAAACTAAAGCATAAAACTCTAAAGTTGGCCCTAATCCTGTCCCAACTTCATTTTTGTACTGAATCTCCAGCATAGTTTTAGATTCCCCATAATCTTGCAGAATGGTTTCAGCTTGTTTCAAAATGCTGCTCCTTGATATGGTTCTTTTCCTTTTGTCTAATCTGGGAGTTATTTTCTCACTGTTTGTAAGTTCAGGAACTGTATCAATAAGTCTTTGCAATGCCCTTTCTCTGTCAAATGAAGTAACATAAAATAAGAGGTGTCTGGTTTCAAATGGGAAAAGAAATGGAAAATTATAAGCAATATGAGACAGCCAAGGTGGTATATTCCTTGTCATGATAGCTAATGGGTCCTGTAACTGGCGATTAACTTTGAGAGTCAAATCGTTATTAACAAATGCGGTTTGCGGTACGATTGATGCCCAAGAATTTTTCTTATACAGTAATCCCCAATGATAACTCAATCCATGTATAACTCTAAGCAAATAAATAACTTCTAATGATGGATCCTTAATAGTGTCAAGACCTGGCAGTTTAGGACTGAAAGTTGTAGGGAAAACAACTTCAGGAACAGTGCCACTTTCCCACAGTGAATCTTTCTTGTCTTTGGACAATTTACTGCGTTCAGATGAGCTTTTGCTAGTATGACCTGAACGACTAGAGCTTTTCTTTTTTCCAGTACTATTATGGCTAGTACTGGCATCATTAGCAGAAACACTCTCAGCCTCTTCAGGAGGAACAGGACGGTACCAAAGAGTGTGGGTTTTTAACCAAACTGATGCATAGCCTACAGGATATTCTCCATCAGTGTGCTGAGAGTTTGAGCTCTGAGAGTCTGCATTTCCATATTGCCTAACAGCTTGATATAACGTCATATTATAAGGCAAAACATTTTTACCAATTAGAAATTGTAACTTTGGAGTTCCATGGCCATGATCCATTCTGATATCAGCCACAACTAAACCCCCATCTTCATCAGAGCTATCATCATCATAACTTAAATCACTTTCACTTTCATCATCATCTTTAATAGTACCATAACCTTGATTAACTAAATAACGGTCAACATTTTGAATCGATGCTAAAGGATCGACCATAACTGGACCACTATGCCACTGTCTAAGATTCGTGCAGGAAGGGTGGCGTTGGAAGAGACATTTTAACTGGTGCATATTAAAAAACTTTACAATACTAGATCCAGGTCTACCAGTGGTTCCTATTGATGATTGATCAAAAACTTTAACTGGAAACTGCTCTAAGTGACTAACACAAGCACCAAGTTTTGTTAATAAATTCAAAAGAGGCGCTGTATTGATATTTTCCGGTACAAATTCTTCTCTTATGGTCCGAGGACAGTTTATAAACACATGAAGAAATGTTCTCAAACGATCTTCAAGTGGTTTCGACCCAAATGGTAAGTCATCTCCTTGCTGAGTTGAAAGATAAGCCATGAGTTTTTTCACTAATCCACTGTGAATAAGCTCAAAAGAAGAAATGTCATTTTTTGTCACTATTTCAGCAATCTCTTTCAGTGGTTTTAATCCACAATCATCCATAGACTCCATGCTTTTCACAGCTTCAGTTAAAGTATTTAATACATTGATAACTGGATGTGAATTTATGATGTCGACATTAAAATAAGTTTCATCAAATTTTTGTGCCTGTTCTTTAATCCAGGTATTTATTTTTTCTCTACTCTCTGTGGTAACTGCTATGGTGGAACTATACATGGCCCCAGACTCTTTATCTGCAGCTCCAAAGGTACGTTTAATATTCATATATCGCTTTTTCAAAACATCTCTGATTTTTGAAGCAACATTTGTGCTAGAAGATTCATCCTCTTTAGCAGCTGGTGAAGATGATGCACTGAATACAGAATGTGAAGAAGATGAACCACACTGGGCCCCTTCAGATTTATGAGAATTTTTATCAGACGAATCTGAGTTAGAGGTATGACCAGGAGTGACATGATTAGATGTTGATGGCAAGTTGGATTCAGGAGTATTTTCAATTTGCCAGGATTTCACATCAATCTTAGATAACACTCTAATTTCATGCAAGACACCTTCTCGAACAAAATGAACCCTAAAATCTGTTGGAAGTTTCCACATTAAGATTTCTGAAATTTGAAGGGCAGATATCACATTACGGAATTCTTGGGATGCCAACATGGAAGCTACATGTCTAGCAATGTTTTGGTACTTGAGCACAGATTTTAAAACTTCTGGAGGGGCAAAGTAGATCATTCGAAGTAAAGCTCTGATGCATTTGTTTTTCACTGCTGAACCAGCAGAACTACAATACATTTCATATAGTACTGGAAATAATACTGTAATGCTTCCTGTTACTAAATCAACATTATCATCAAAGAATTCAGCTCTTAGCGGAGCAGCAGTTTTCTCAGCAGAATTTCTAACATACCAACGAGGTTGTCGTGCACTGCTACTGGAAGGATCAGAGTCAAATTGTTCCATAGAATGAAGTTCTGCAACATTTAATGACGCTTTATCTGGAATATAAAGACGGACTTTCCCATACTGAGCTTCATCAATAGATTCACCATCTTGCCTCTCTCTGAAATGCCTAATACCTGCTTCATCACGCCATTCCATTAATACTGTACTGCTAGAAGCAACTTTCTTTTTAGCTTCAACAACCAGAGCGTCAACACTAAATATAGGATCTTGAGGTAAGCATGGCATCAATTCACAAATTAGATATGAAAGCTCGAAGAGTTCTTGTGGACTTCGAGGAATTAGCTCAATATTTTTCGAATTGTCAGATGATCCCACTAACAAATATTTTAAGGTTTCAGAAAAATTATTTTTCAAGAGGAAGACAACAATATCAGAACAAGCAGAACACATTTGTGCCAACATGTGAATTACACTAGTGAAAGTTTGAGAGCTGATAATCGGTGGTGAGAGAACTAAAAGCTGTTGGATATTAGACAAGAGAGTATTGCTTCCAATTTGCAAAAGGCTATCTGGATCTTTCTGGAAGCTTTCAACTAGTCCAGCAAAAGCTAAGCAAATGCTTTCAACTGACTTCTCATCTTGTCTTGTTAGCCATTCACTCAAAGTGGAGAGAGATTCTTGAATAAGAATGAATTCTGACAGCACTAAATTCTGACAACAGTTTGATATAATTGCGAAAGCAGTTCGCTGGGCATTTATAGAAAAGAAATCTAAATATATAAGGCAAGCAGCAACACCCTTAGCTTGCAAAATGGGTTTGCTATGCCACTTTGATAGCATTTTCAAGGCAGTAAGGGCTTGCTCAGCAACATCAATGCACTGAATTACTTGTATTTTATTCAAAAGGACTGGAATAGCTTCCACAACAACTGAAGATGATCGTGGTAATGCCTCCATTAAGTAAGTCAAAGCACGACAAGCTTGATTCATTAATTCAAAATTATATTCTTTAAGCAACAAGTTTATAAGAAGAGGGACTAGCTGCTTTGTAGGAAATCCTATCAGAGTGTCTTCATTTCCCATGACTAGCAACTGACTGATTTCAATAAGAACTTGGAGTTGATGCTCATCATCATCTGCAGATTGTAATTCTTGCACTAATTGCTGAGCTCTACTGCTGGTAGCAGTTCCCATAGACTTCTGGAAAAGTTGTTGCATACGACTTTCAAGAGCACCAAATAAACTAAGAGGTATACGTCTAGAGTCCATTAAGGCTTGCAAACGTCCTATCTCTCCATCAATGGAATCTGCAGCATCTGTAGTATGGCGGGAATTAGAATTACTAGCTGTAGTAGTACCCTGAGCAACAGTTTCTCCATCAAGATCATCATGAAGCAAAATACGTCTTCCTCGAAATGGGTTGGAAATTTCTTCATAACCAGGCATCTCAACTTCTTGTTTAATTGTTATACCATGGAAAGCACTTCCTAATGACCCACTAGCACCAGACACAGGTGACTTAAATAAACTCTCAGTATCACTACTACTATCTCTTAAATTTGAAGATTTGCTGAATTTACATTGGTCCTTACTAGATTCTTCATCTTTCTCAATTTTTATTTTTAAGACTTGGTGAAGATCATGTGTACCACTCACACCTGGTTCACTATCCAAAGGTGTTTCAATAATAGCATTAGATTGACAACTTTTAGCTTGTTGCATTGCTGATTCAAGACTTTTTTGCAATTCACTTTTTGTTATAAGCTTCCTCTCTGATATATTTTTACCATATAAGGTTTCAAACTTTTGCATTTTTGCTTCAACTGACATGTCATTTTCATTGTAACAAGTCAAATTTGGAACAGGGGACTCACCTTCAGAAAAATTTGAATTTCCAAAAGATGGATTAAAGAAAGAATCATTATTGTCATCTAAATTACTTAACTTATTATCATTTGAAGTTAACCTATCTGACAAATTTGATTTTGAGACATTTTTGTTAACTGCAGATAAATTAGTGTTTTTAGAGGATGTCTGTGATTCGGCGTTTCTTTCAGGTACAGATCGTCCAGATATGTTAGGAGATCTTACCTCATTAGAATTGCAGCGAAGATCATTTGCTTCATAAGAAATAGAAGGAGGGTCATTCAACTCATTCTTGGGAGCATCTGAATTGTTGCTCATATTTGATTTTTTAAGCTTTTTCGCTTTGGAGTTAGATTTAACTTCCTTTGTAACACTTTTTGAGCTTTCTCCTAATGATTTATTCTCTTCACCTGTAAAATGCTTTCGCTTCAAGCTATCCTCAACAGGTGCCGGAGAATCACTGTCCATGGAGCTCGTAGCAGGTTCTACTTTTTGCAAAGCAATGCTCCTACTTTTAGAGCGAGTAATAATTGGGGAACGAGAAAGACTCAAAGAAACTGCACTTGACAAAATTTTTTCCTTTTTGGGTTTAGTGACCTTGTTCTCAGAAACAACGGTCCTGTTTCTTAAATATTTGGTGGTCGCCTCCTGTTTGCTTTTCACCTGCCGTGAACTTCCTTTTTTACTCTTACATTGAGCGGCTATACACTTTTTCGGCATAATCTATAATGTGCGTTTAGGAATCTCTAATAACACTTTGTTCATTTTGGTGGCACTTTATATAAAAATTCCACAGAGGATATTTTGATTAGAAGATGAGGAAACAAAACTGTTCATTTAGAATCTGAAAAAAAAAAAATCAAAATTAATCTTTTTATAACAAAACATAAAAACTACGCATCACAAGTTAACTACAGATAAACTAGTTAGAAATATGGGAATTGGTATCAGATTAAAATGCCTATATTTATCAACTTTTTTTTTAAAATAATTACTTAATTTTATTTATACTTTTGATACACATGGTGAATAGTATTGTTGGCTGAAGGTTAACCATTAAAATTTGTTGATTTATTTATTTATATACTAACTAAAAATTTATGTTAGTGCTATTCAGGGAAGAGAAATCTACATATTTTAAGTTCCCATAAACTATTACCCCAGGAATGTACTGCAATAAGATACACTGTTTAAATTTACAAAAATAAAATATACATTTCACATATTTAAAAAAATAAGGAATTACATGCAATTAAAAAAAATTAATGAGCTCAATTAAATTATTCATAAAAACTCTAAACTAAAAAAATACACAACAACATTGGAATGCATTGGGCTTATTTTTACAAGAGAAACAAAGTTAATATGCATGACATAGCAATAAACTATAAAAAATAAACACATTATGAAAACTATGGGTTGGAGCAAACATACTAATAACCATCAGACTTAAATAAAATTAAAAACTTTCTTCAAACACAAAAGCAAAACTTTCTGCCCACATTGATTAATTCTTGTAATTAGTTTCAACCTTTTCACAACCACCTCATTTTGGCGGAATTGGTTTAAAAAATCAAGATTTTGTAAAAAATGCTAACACTTTATTCTTACCACAGGGATATGCTTGGTAAAAAAGAAAGTTATAAAATCTTAGGAACTAGCTTCTTATTTATTGCATTTACTGCAAAATAAAAATAAAAACTATTTTCTCATTGACATACTTGAGCACTTTTTAGAGATATTCACATATTTGTCACTTCACAGTAAAAATTTAGCGAAAATCGTTTAAAAAATTTCTATAATTTAATAAAACAAATTGTGAAATAAACACTAAAGCAGTAGGTATGTTGATATTGTTTTCTTTAATATAAACATTAAATTAAATATATATATATTAACATTGTCTTTGAGCTTAGAGCAAAAATACTCTATCAATTAGCATAATTTACGAGTAAAGAAGGGATGAATTTCAACTTTTTCTTTAATGAATCCTCCGGCATAAAAGTAGCATAGTAATACGTTGAAGAAGTTAAGTTGAAGCCAAGGGAATTATTCCAGTCGCCTTGGCTAGAATAATGCTGGACTGAATTCCCTTAGGAAAAAAAATAAATAAACATAAAACATCTGTGCATTTAATTTAATGTATACAAAGTTCTTTTTAACATCTCTTTGTAGATTATGACTTTACAAGATGTTACAAGAGAGGATGTGGATAAAATGCAACAGAACCAACTATTAACTAAAGTGTGGATAGAGGAACAATTTCGCAGCCTTGGACATACTGCTAGCCATACAAGACCTGAGACGCCAATTGATGCGGTTACCAATACAGAAGCAGTGGCAAATCTTCAAATTCTACAATCTACATTACAGGGATTAAGACGAATGACTGATACAATACAGTCAACCATCACCACTATCAAAATAAATGTCACAGACATAATCAATATTACAAGGTAAGTACAATTCAGTCGTAAGATATATATCTACCATTAGAAATCTATCTTTAACGTCTCATGTTTTAATACTAAGTTTGTATAGTTTAAGGTTGCACAACCTTCATAGAATAAGGTGAAAGCAAATAATATTTTTATTATTAAGAGTAATAAAAACAAATTATCCAAAAATACTTATAATAAAACCATTATGCTTTTTGACATTTTTGAAATAAGCACTTAATGTTTTGCATATTATGTTTTCAATAAAATTAAATTATAACAGAACATTTACCATTTTTTCTATAGAAAAATTAATTTTATTATTTTTTTGGACTAGTACATAATTTACTTACCTGCTTTAATTTTAAATAATTAAGCCCTCAAACAATATTTTTTTTTTTAACAAGCCTGAATTAACATGAAATTAGCAATTTTAAAGCTGTAATTATGTTTTTTTTTTAAAGTTAGTTTAAAAAATATCAATAAAATGTTTTTTAATATTATCTATAGATTTTAAAATTTTTGGTTGACAAGCAGAAAAGCACAGTGACCATATAAGGGTGGGCTGCATTCAGCCTCTTAGATGAAGATAGTGCTTTCCTAATATAGGTTAATTGGCAATTAAAAAAAAATGTTTACAAAAATAGTTATATTTAAAACACCTGTTTCAGATAAAATTAAAATACTGATGAAAAAAATAATGAAACATTAGTTAAAAAGGACTTAGACCAACAATGGGTAGCAGATTGTATTTTGAAAATGGACTAAGATACAACTTAAAAAATATTATAAAAAAAAGCAATATTTTTACTTTAAATTGTGTTATAAATTGAATAAAATAAATCTCAATCTAACAAATTTACTCGCATAGTATACTCTCAAAATAAAACATTATTTAAAAAGGACATTAAAAAAACAAAAGTTAAAAGGACAAAAAAAATAATGAAACATTAGTTAAAGAGGACTTAGACCAACAATGGGTAGAAGATTGTATTTTGAAAGTGGACTAAGATACAACTTAAAAAATAAAATTATAAAAAAAGCAATATTTTTATTTAAAATTGTGTTATAAATTGAATAAAATAAATCTCATTCGCATAGTATACTCTCGATTATCAGTTTTGTGGGTCACACGGTTGGTTTGTGTAAAATAGTTTCAGACAAAAAAGATTATGATTTGGTATCAGATGTCTTGAAATTTTTAAGTGATAATATATGAGTTTCAGTGCAAGGTAAAAAAATTATTTTATAATAAATATAAATGTACATTAACAAAAATTTATTAAATAGTCACTTTGTAAGGCTAAAATTTACAATATTTTTTTACATTTCAATAGTTGAAACATCACAAAAAAAGTTTTTTTTAGATGTGACTTATTCTGATGTAAATTTTTTTACTATTTGTTTTGAACAATTCATGATTTTGATTTGCCACGCTATTTCAACTGGTAACTAAACTGGATAATCAGGAACTTCAATCAAAAAATGATAATACAAAATACAGTCAGACCTTGATACAAGGTCCTCCTCATATAAGGTCACTTTTCCAAAGTCCCGGCTCACTGAATAGGAATTCTTTGTTACAGATTATTGGATATATAATCAAGTTTAAAAAAACGTTATCACTTATAAGGTCATTTTTATCTAAGGCGAGGGGATCTCTTTTCAAACAAAAGCCCATTTAACTTCCTTACAAGGTTTAACCCCTCTCGAGTTCTAAAATGTTGCAGTTTGTGAAGAAGCGAAAAGTTGTTTTCATAGCAGACAATTGCACAGCTTATACCAACATCCCACAGTTAGCCTCAATTGAGCTTGTTTTCTTGCCTCCCAATGTGACCAGTGTTCTCCAACCATTGGATCAAGGAGTTATTCAAAACCTAAAAGTGAACTATCATAAGCTCCTCCTGAAGGACTTTATCGCTGCCATTGACCAAAAAAAAAGGAGTTTCACGATACTGTCTTGGACGCCATTTTCTATGTGTAAAAAAGTTGGAACATGGTATCCACCACATGCATAGCAAATTGTTTTAGTCATGCTGGTTTTGTGAGTTCTCTGAATATCGTGGATGACAAAACCGAAGACGATATTCCTCTATCTGTTCTGATTGAAGATCTGAAAAATCGTGGCCATGCCATTGAAGGGGAGGCTAAATACGGTTTGATTTATGAGGAAATTGCCACCACTTCTGAAGCTACAATTCCTGAAATTGTTTCACAAGTTGTGAACAGTGAGGACAATGACAGTGATCCTGAGACTGTAGCTGTAAAATAACCCAAGCAGAAGCCTTCAATGCAATAAATGTCATACGAAATTTTTTTACAAGTTACAAAATCTAGAAAACATTGTTCGAAAAATGACACCAAAATCAAGACAGACCTGCATAAAAGATTATTTTAAATAAAATAAGATGTAATGTATGTATGTACACGTTGATGAAATTTGTAAACAGCTTTACTTTAAATTAAAAATATTTTTAAAGATCTAACTTTCTTTAATTCTTTACTAGCTCTGTTAAAATTTATTGACTTAAATATTTAATTTATGACCAATCACATTCGCTTGTATTTTACCATTTTTAAAAAATCATAATATGTAGTATTTACGTGCTTAGTTACAAACTGCTAATGAATTGGTTAAAAGGTCACCCCGCTTATAGGTCACTTTTGCGATGTCCCTTAGGGTGACCTTATATTGAGGTCTGACTGTACATTTAACAGTAATTATTTTAGTCATGTCAGTAGAAGTTAGTGTGAAAAATTATTTTATCTAAGGAATCTTAGCATTTTAAATCACTTTTGCCAGTATAGTATACCATAAATGTATTCACAAAGCTTTAAACTAATACTCAAGTATTTAATTATTTTTTTGTTCAAAGAACTCTTTTTCTTGATTATATTAGACATTATAAAATGATCCAGAGATTTTTCGGTTTGATAACGGGGGATAATGGAGCCTGAAATTGCAGATATGTAATAAATACAGCAGAGTTGCACATGCAAGTGCAATAGTCTCACTGAACCCAGCTCAGTAGACGCACGTGTGAACTCACAAGTGTTTCATCATACATGTCAAATGATTGGCACTTACATACGCTACAGACCGACGGTATACCGAAATGGATTGTGGTTGACATTGTGAAAAACATTGAATAGAACAATATGAAAAGCACACTTTTGCATAATACGTGGTGAAAATAGACACGGTAAAGAAAAAAATCTCATTTTCAAAAAGGGAAAATTAAGGACTTTTTAAAAACACCAAATGAAAAAAGCAACTTCAAGGCTTTTAAAAAATGCAAATAAAAAATAAACACCTTTAAAAAATGGTATGCATCATGCATACATAATATAATGAATTACAGAAACAAATTTCATTTAAACTTATACAATGTCTACTCATTTGAAACCATGATCAATGACGATGAAGAATGCAAATCATACTTTAAAATGTAAAACAAACAATATCTATCATGTTTTTAAATTATTGCGGAGCAAATATATCTTAGAAAAAAATAATGTTTTTCCAGTTTCCACTACTTCCTCCATATGCCAAAACACATTTTAAAACAAGAATTCTGGTTCTAAAATATAATGTTTTTGCTTACAATATGTGGTCGCACTTAAGTTATAAAATATAAGTGATGGAGAGATGTTTTTACAACGAAAAAGTATAAATTCATATGAAAAATTTAAGATTTAATTTATTTTCCTAAAATATATTAAATTTTCAATGAAACATTATTTAAAATGTTTACCTGCATTTACTAATTAATTATTGATTCATAGCATTTAAGTGAGGTGATTCATTTATTTTTCTATGCATTTACAATTTAAAATTGTCATTAAATTTCTCATTTTTTGTAAGTTTTTCTTATTGGTGGTCTGGTCATTGATTTGAATACTAAATATATGGTCTTAAAGTAAAAATTATCAATATTAAGTAAATTACGAGATGAATTTTTTCTAATTGTCTGAAGCAAAAGTTAACATTTTGAAAAATCACCGAGCGATTGTAGTACAAGTAGATAAAAATAAATAAATTATTCAAACAAACAAAACATAAGTTAATAAATTCTGCCAGCTGGTTTTGTAACGAAAATAATATCTATGAGGATATAACTGTTTTAAACATTGTTCAATATAAATGTGCACAAAATTAAGTAAAACCATTGAAAAGTCAATACTTAGTATCTAGATTATATTAATAACAATAATTTTAATTTAGTTCATAAATTTTTTTAACATAACTTTTATAAAAATGCAGAAAAATTAAAATAGAAAGAACATTTATCAAAATATATCTGTACAGTATAATTACTTGCAGAACATTTAACAACTACAATTTCTTAAATCAGTTATCAGTTAACTTTGAACAAGTTTCAGTTAACTTTAGATTAAGGGTAAAAAAAATTAAAAAATCAACAATTATAAATGTATAAAATCCAAACCGGGGCAAAAGTTGATTATCCAAAAAATCTAGACTTGCTGTTGTTTATTAAGTCTACTGAAGACTAAACAGAAGGTTAAAATTTAGAGAATCAAACAAAAATCAAAATTTTAAGTTTTTAGTTAAATTTTACAGACTCAAAAACTATTAAATGGCAGTACCTAGGAAAATACTGAAAATACTATAATATTAACTGATCAACATTTCAGAACAGCTATAATAAATATTTGAAATATGCAATTTAATCTTGCAGATCAATACAGAAGTATGAAAAAGAATATCTGGTATCCAAAACATACCTCCAGTCATCTTTGCAAAATACTCTTAACGACAAACTGGATTTGATACCCAACATAGGATGGACAAATCACATGATTCAAGCAGGTATTTTTTTAACTATTTAAACAATTCAATTGATTGTTAATAATTTATCATATTAATATGAAAAAAAAATTGTGTACAATGCTGAAGAAATTTTCTATCTCAAAATTTTTAAAAATCACGACCTAAGAAAAACAATCTCATTTATATCTCTCCATAACCAGCCAGATAATTGTCAAGCTTGGCTATTTCAATAATATACGTAAAAAAACTTATAACAAGTGCAAAAATGCTTAACATTTCTCCTAAAGTAGAAAGTGTACAAAACTGTGGTGTACAAAACGATGTACATCACAGAATAATTTATGTCACTGCAGGATCATTCATGTTTTGAACAGAAATATTAAGTCCAAGTTATGTCTGGATTGGGCTGAAAATTTTAAAAAAGGTGCTTATTTTGTTTGGTTGGGATGACATTGTTTAATTAATCACGGTCTTTCTTTTTTGCAATTTCAGTTGACAAAATCAAATCATTGGTCATTTTAAAATAGATGTAAACTTGTTTATTTCAGGGCGGGGTTTTTACCAGGGAAAACCCAGTTTTTAAAAGAAAAAACCTGGATAATACTATTAGCCCTTGTTTATTTATTTACAGATATATTGGTTTGTTACTTAAGGAATATATAGTATTTCCAAATTGTAGTTAATGTTCAGAATTATTAGATAATATGTATACATTTAGATACAGGTAGGTATACTTGCTATTAAGCAACTATTCCACAAGTGATATAATGCAAGCTATCTCCAAAGTTGTAGTTAAAAAGTTATACTTAACAGTCTGCTTGTATACGAAATAAGAGATTTTATGCTTTCCCAAGTATTCTTCATTAAAACTCAAATAATTTAACAAATTTTTGCAAGGAAAAAAATTAAATTAAGTGCACTGGCTTTTGAGTCCAATAACACTAAATGTTGATGTCAAAAGTTAAGCTATTTAAATGGGGGGAAAATTATAACATGATCGATTAAGATAGACAAAAGGTGCATATTTTTGATGAGTGCAGCAGAATTTTTTCGGGGATTAAGACAATCGTTGGTCCGCAACATAAGTTTGCATTATAAGCATTTCATTTTAAGATTGAAAAAAAAAGAAGTTTTTCTATATTGATATCAGGAAAAAAAAAGATTTTATTTATTTTTATTTTCAGTTCACATAAACATCACAAATTGATATTTCCTTCAACAGAAAAAAAAAATTGTTGCAATATTGGAAGGCTAGTAATTATTAACTTGTTATAAACATGCATTCTTCGTACGTTTAATATTATAGTTTTGAGGAGAATCTTATAATTTGCCATACTTATTTTATTGCGTTTTCACTGTATTATAGAGGAGTCATAATAGTTCCAGAATAGAAAAAATAAAAAAAGGTTAAAAAGGACAAATCAGGTCAAATTTTCTTTTATTAGGAATATCAGGACAACTTCGAATCTTACAAAAATTTTTAGAACATTAGTTCTAAAAATGATCAGATATTGTACTACAATGTTTACAAGAGAATTTTTCTAATGTTCCAAGCTATTGTTTCAGTATTGCTTTAAACGTACACTTTAAAATGCTCACAGAAATAGTAAAAACAATAAATTTTTCTGAGGATGGGAAAAATATGTTAATTTTTACATAACAGTTAAAATTCTAGAAAAAACTTTTTATAGACTAAAAAGCCATGGGAAAAATAAGTTTTCCCCAAGATGGTAAAAACCATGGTAAACACTGTTAAAAAACTCACATGGTTAATACCATGACAACTCTGGTTTATTTTTGAAAATCCTTTTAATTCATGACAGTACTTTTCAAGTCCGCTGTAAAAACCAATAACTGCATTACCTATATTAGGTACCTAACCAAAGTGATAACATGAAATTAAGAGTTAATTTATATAGTTAAATGTACATCCCTTTTGTTCAAGATGGTTAAAAATGTTTTTTATTATATGCAACTAATTTGTAACTATGAATTCAGAATTCTATATTTTACACACAAAATAAAACTTTAATCTTATCTATTCAATAATATGTAATTACTACAATAAACAGGAATTAACTGACTTTGATACTCAGTTAAAAGGAAATGAAACTAAAAATATACTAAAACATGAAACCTTTGTCTGGAATAAAATCTAACTAAAAAAGTAATAAAACTCAAATTTCAGAATGGTAATTGCATTTATTCTGTAATATGAAATTAAAAAAAAAAGGTAAATAAAAATAAAATTATCATATAGAAGGACTTCTGTACTCAAAAACTGAAATGTAAAGAAGCCACGATTTTCAAATTTTGGAGATTACAAGGCTAAGAACATCGATATTTCAGATGGAATGTAATAAAATATTGGATAATACCTCTAAGGAAATTTAAATACTATTTGAAGCCAACACGGATCCTAGGAAAAAACTAATTTTAAATAAATAAATAAAAAAATTCAAACTGGTTATTCAATGTCCGCTTTTACCAGCAGAGTAATGAGAATAAAACACGAACTTATAAGACAAATAAAAGAAAATTTGAGAGAATATGATTAAATACGATACAAAAATATATATACAAGTTTAATGGAGATTCATGTAGTATTTCTTACTAATTCTCCAGCATTACTAAACCTCATTACTCAATTTGCAATAATTTTATTATCAACAAAAGTTTATAAAAACGATAACGAATCTGGATTTTTAAGAACGAAGTATATCTAAAATAACATTAGAAATTTTTTTAACAGTTTACTAAACAGCTGATTCCTGGAACATTTCTAAAAAAAATCATTCTTTCTCAAACACTACTAAAACAAATTTAAAAATACCAACCGCATTTCTGACAGGATAATCTGTAACCAAAATTATCTATAAAGGTAAATGAAAACGATAACAAATCAGCATTTTACGAACGAACAGAATCCTTAAATATCATTAAAAAAAGAGACAAATATAACAGCTGATTCATTAAACATGTCTTAAAAAATAAAAATAAAAGTTACATAACTAAAACAAATTGGAAAAAAAAACACTAACCACATTTTTATTCTGTTAATCTGCAACTAAAATTATGAATAAAGGTAAACAAAAAAGAATCTTGAAATTATGAACGAACACCTACTAAACTTCGCATTTTGTTATGACTGAGTTCTCCGGAAATAAATGTAAGGGAAAGAATACACAAATCCTACAGTTTGGCGAGATCATTACGTCATCAACAATGTTTGGATATTCAAGCAACGAATCCTGGCAAAGTGCCCGTATACGATAATAAACAATCTTGGCGATATACTGAATAAAATTTAGTGAACTCACTACTTATCTAGAAACTCACACTAAACGACTAAATTATCCAAAGATTTAAGTATTATATTTGAACAGGAATACTACCTCCATAATGAATTCCCCCCCCCTTTTTTTTGATAGGGAAAATATATCCCGTTCTTAGCATAGCTGAAATAAGCTTTTAAAAAGTTAATACTTAAATATGAATTTAATTTTACAAAATTCAAATAATTAGAAAAAAGCAATTGTGTATTTCTCAAAAATAAAAAAATTTAACGTTTCTTTATTTTACACTTTTTAAAGTTTTTTCTTTTAACACAAATTAAAAACATGTCTTTTTTACCGGAAATCTTAATTTATTTGTATTTTTTAATTTATGTTAGTAAGCATAAAAACCTCTAAATGTCACAATACGAGATAACTTACTGCTATTGTTTGTTATTTCTTTAATAAAACAGATAGTGATTCCGAAATTGAGCCTTGAGCTATTTTACGTTATCGCTCCCCCCCCCCTCTCAACTCATTCATTTCAAATGCAGTAAATAGAAAAAGGTAAAAATAATTTTTCTGTTACTTCAGAACGAATATTAAGTCATACAAAAAACCATTCATGTGAGAGGCTGCACAATTAATATTTTACATTAACTATCAGCAGCAGGAATTGGAATTTTGAATTTTTTTTTTTTTAAGAACTGTAATTAACAAGTTAAATTTTAAATATATAATTGGAATATTATTAAGAATATATTATAACACATTTCTAACAATTTATGCATTAAAAATTGTTTTATAAAAATAGTATAGTGCAGGGGAAAGAAACACTCCAAAATAGCTTTTGATATAATGTTTGGATTTTCACGAACTACGACACAATAGTTCCATGGTCACATTTCAAATATGTAAATTAATTAGCGCATACGATATCTTAAGTTACGAAATTACACACAAAATCGTTCCTTTTTTGAAAAAACGTACATTTTTTAATATCTTATTGGGATTATTGACCTTCAAAATATGGGGGAGACGGTAGCCGCTATCTGGAAAATAAAGTGTCAATAGTGCACGAGTTCACTTTGTACGTATTTCGCCATTTGAAAGATGCCTTATTTTTAAATTTTTATTACTTAAGAACTAATGGTGAGATTTCCTTCAAATTTTGAATTTCATCATTCACAATTGCGTAGATTAAAATGTTCTACCCTTAAAAATCCAATTCTTCAGATCAATATTCAATTTAATAAAATAAAAACAATTAAAAATTATTATTTTTAGCCGCTTTAATTGTTTCGAAGATATGGTGAAATATGCAATTAATGAAAGTAACATTAAGGGGCTTAACTTTCGCCGGCTCTCCTATACATTGGGATAACATTTTACAGATTGCAGCTACCCTTATATTTTGAGGATCAAATATTTAAATCAGCCCAAAAGGGTTATTTTCTTACGAGAAAGAACATTTTTGTGTCTGAATTCGTAACTTAAAATACCGTCTGCACTAATTAATAAGCATATTTTAGATTAAGCCGTTGAACAAATATAATTGTGGCTTAGTAGGGGAAAATTTGATCATAAACATAAAAAGTTATTTGGAATGTTCGTTTGTTTCCTTTGCAAGGACAAATAATGAATTGTGTTGCCTTATCTACAAATTGACAATTATTTCTATAATAGAATAACTTAATTTACCAGCTTATTAAAAATACTATATATATTTATCTTAAAAATTTATCTACAACTGATCTATGCAAT